CTAGCTTGCACAGAACATTGAGGTGGTAGAAGAGAGGGAAGGAGGTAAGAAGAGGTTGAACAATGTATCTCCTATTAAAGTCTGCAAACCAGTTTGCATGACTTGCCGTGCTAAAAGGTTTTGATTTAACTCTGTAAATGATGAGGAGCCTGCCAAGGTCCTAGAGCTAGAGAGGGATGCAATTTTTTAAGTTATCTCTGAGGAAGTGATGTGTAGATTTTTGTTTACTATGTCTTTCTCACTGGAATAGGAGCTCTTGGAGGACAGGGGTTTTTATCAATTTTGCTCACTGCTGTGAGTACAGTGCAGTGCAGATAGTCAAAAACATTCTATTGAATAAACAAATGAATCCTGGCAATTAGGAGGCAAGGAAGAGACTCAGATTATGAGCCATGGCAAAATGAGGCCATGCTCTGGGGCTTAAGTGCTCAAGGGCTGCTGGTCACACATGCACGTACAAGATGAGGGAAAGGAACTGGGTAAGATAGAGGGGTATCACAGTTCACTATTGTTTGTTTATTGAGATATAATTGATGTAACAGTTTCAGATGTACAATATAATGATCAGTATTTGTGTATATTGTGAAATGATCACTACAATAAGACTCATTAACTGAAACTGCAGTGACATACTTACCATACATAGTTACATGTGATGAGAACTTTTAAGATCTACTCCCTTAGCAACTTTCAAATATACAATAAGTCACCATGCTGTGCATTACATCCTTAGGACTTATTTATTTTATAACTGGAAACTTGCACATTCCAACCACCCTCACCCATTCCACCAACTCTCCATCCCACTGACCCCCCACCACCTCTGGCAACCACCAATCTGTTCTTTGTATCTGTGAGTTTGGGAATTTGTGGGGGGGTAGGCAAGAGATGAGGGGATTATTATTTATTTTTAGGATTCTACATATAAATGAGATCATAGTATTTGTCTTTCTCTGACTTACTTCACTTAACATAATGGCCTCAATGTCCACCCATGTTGTCACAAATCACAAGGTTTCCTTCTTTTTTATGGCTGAGTAATATTCTATTGTATATGTAAGCCATATTCTTTATCCATTTTTCCTTCACTGGACATTTAGGTTGCTTCCATATCTTGGCTATTGTAAATAATGCTGCAGTTAACATGGGGATGCAGATATCTTTCCCAGTTAGTGCCTTCATTCCCTTTGGATGAATACCCAGAAATGGAGTTTCTGGATCATAAGGTAGTTCCATTTTTTATTTTTTGAGTAACCTCCATACTTTTTTCCATAGTGGTTGCATCAATTTACATTCCTACCAAGGGTGCACGAAGGTTCCCATTTGCAATTTTTTTTTCCTAACATCTCCATATGTGCAGATGGGGCAGAATGTGCTCAGCCATTTGATGTGATAATTGGCTCCCAAGCTAAAGCAGCCAAAATAGAATTATGTAATCCAAGGTTAGAACAGGATATTAAAAACTCTGAAGACAGAGAAAATTAGAGTTTATACTCCCTCTTTTTGCCAGTTCAAAATTTCTCATTGTACCAAATGCAAGTCATCTATATAGTACTTTAAAATCCTTTCTCCCTTCATGCCCCAGGGAGGGAACCAGTTTGTCATCCCTCGTGTGCACCTTAAAGTACATTAGCAAGTCTTAAGAATTACCCACCATTTACTTTGTTTAACGCAACTTCTGAGAGTTTTGAGAGAAAAATGCTACCATTCTCTGCTTTCTATGGCAGTGGTTCCGCCACCAGTCAGACGCAGGCTTCTCTGCGTCCAACATCACCTGTCCAAATGTTGGCTCAAGTCTGCCCCCTAGAGTAGAACAAACCAGACTGCCTTGCTAGTAATGCTGAACTGAATTGTTTGTAATTCTGATCCTGGGCTTTTCTGGAGGACTACCACTTTTTAGTCTATATGCTTCTGCATTATTTGGAAGTATGTCCATTATAAATTTCGACTTTGATTGGGGAATAGTAACTACAAATACAATTTTTCATTTTGAGAGAGAGTCATATATGACAGCATCTTGCTTAAAATGGGCAGAACTAATTCAAGTTTAGAATCCTGGTTGTTTAGAATCACACCCCCAAACTATATATATTGAGCCATATTATGTTACAAGCACCTATTGTGTTCTGGGAATACAAAGATGACTAAGTTATGGTTCCTGCCACTAAGAGTTCAGTCTGATGGGAAGAAAGACATGAAAGGAAATCACCCCATTACATGACAAAACCCACATGAGTGATACTATAGCACTGAAAAGAATGTGAATGGACAGAAGCATTTTTATTTGGAAAGGAAAGGATGGAAAGAAGGAAGGAAAAATGGAAAGACAGGATGAGATAAAATAAATTTTAAAATGATGTAACTAATAGTAGGCCAGTTACCCGCAATAACACCATGGATTAAATAAGTTCTGATCCTTCTAAAACTCAGTAGAACTTAACAAATAAAATTCAAGTAATACAATAAGAGGCTTGAGAGTCAGTCAGGGTGATGTCCGATAGAATGTAATATGAGGCATACATATAACTTTTAATTTTCTAGTAGCCACATCAAAAACAGGTAAAATTAAGTTTAATGATATATTTTATTTAGCCAAATATATCCAAAATTTTGTCAAGATGAGATATAAAGTGCCTGAGATAGGATGGTGGCAATGAGAATGGAGAGAATAGTAGATTGAGACCCAAAATAGACAAAAAAATAACTTTGATGATTATTTGGATGGAGAATGAGATGAGTACAGATGGCTTCAAACCCAACCAGGTTATTTATTGTCTGACAACTGGGAAGTGCTGCTACCATTCACTGCCATAGGGAACATAAGAGGAGGGGCAGATTGGGGGCAGATAGGGCAAGAAATAATAGTTTGTTTTTAGAACATGAGTTCGAGATGCCTGGAAACCTGCAGCCAGTTCTATGTCCAAGGGCCAGTTATGTATGTGAGGGTGGTGCTCAGGAGAGTGGTCTGTACCACAGAGGTAGATTTGGAGGTTGCCAACACATATGTGGTTGATGTCGTGGGAGTGTTTGAGATTGCCCAGAGAGAAGGAGAGAGGTACCTAGGCAAAGCCCAGAAGAAAGCCCGTATTTAGGGGATAAGGATTCTCCCCAAAGACAAACCAGGAATGACCAGAGAGGTGCAAGGAAACACCCAAAAATATAGGTCACAAGAACCAAAGGAAAAGCTTCAAAAGGGAGAGAGTGGCCAGCAATGTCAGATGCTGCCGAAAAGTCAGCAAAGTGAGTGGAGTGATGTTCTCATAGAATTTGACACTAAGATGGTCATGAGTGACTTTGATGGGACCAGTTTCTAAAGAGGAAGACTGCCTGTACCCTCTACAGCAGACTGAAAATTGCGGGGGCAATGTAGATGACTATTCAAGAAGTTTTTGAGAAACGGAAGATAGCTAAGGTGGTTAACTATTGGATGTCAAAGATGGTACCTATTGGTATATTTTGAGGGAAGGTTTTTAAGATAGAAGGATCTTGGGCATGTTTAAAGGCATGTTTAAAGGAACTTTTAAAATTATGCACTAGACTGTTTTACTGATTTGAAAAGATGTTAACATTATCTTGTTAACTGAAATGAACTCATCTCCGAAACAAGTTTTTTATGTATGTGCGTATGTGTGAGCATGGATGACGTTCTGGAAGGATATGCACCAAAGTACTACCCATGTTTATCTCTGAGTAAGTAGAATAAAACTTTTAAATTTTTATTCTTCTTCATCTTTATTTTTTATTATGGGAAGTTTTATAGTATATTTAATCAAACTGGGAGGAAGTCTATTTGCAACACACTTTCAGAACAATAGTACATGGATGAGGGGAGATTCTCTGAAAATGCTATTGCCAGCTTACTCCTCTTTTATATCACAAAACAATACTTCGCATCGCTACTATCAAAAAGACAAGAAACAACAAATGTTGGTGAGGATGTGGAGAAAAGGAACCCTCTTGTTTGTTGGTGGGAATGTAAATTGATGCAGACACTAAGAGTATAGAGGCTACTCAAAGAATTAAAATAGAACTACCATGTGATCCAGCAATTCCACTTCTGGATATTTTTCCAAGGAAAAAGAAACACTAATTTGAAAAGACATTGCACCCTTATGTTCATTGCAGCATTGTTACAATAGCCAAGACATAGAAATACCAAAGTGCCCATATCAATGGAGGAATTGATAAAATATATGTACAAAGGAATACTAATCTTGCCATTTTGTGACAACTTGGATGGAAGTTGAGGACATCATGCTAAGTGAAATAAATCAGATAGAAAAATACATATACCATATGATTTCACTTATATGTAAAAATCTAAAACAAAATAAGTGAACAAACAAAACTCAAAGATACAGAGACAGATTGGTGGTTGCCAGAGGGGAGGTTGAAGGGGGCTGGATGAAATGGGTGAAGGGGATCAAGAGGTACAAACTTCCAGTTTTAAAAGAAATAGATCATGGGGATGTAATGTACAGCATGTTGACTATAGTCAATAATAAAATAAATAAATTAGAATATATGACCCCATAAAGTTAAAACCCAGAGCATAAAGCTGACCTCAGAGAATTAGTCTTCACCCATGCAATGAAAATTGTAACCTACTCCCAATTCCTGCTTTTCTCACTCACATCTGCTCATTCACATGCACATCATCACACACATACTCAGGGAAGTGAAGGCCCTGCCTCAGGTTAGCAGCATGAGTTGGAATGACCTGGGTTCTGGCCCTAACTGCCGCCTCATCAGTGAATGACTGACCTTAACTTCAGTTTCCTCAGCCAGCAAGTAAAAAGAAGCCTACTTCCCACCTCAGAGTGGTGACGATTATTTTAGGAATTCACTGAAGCCCTCAGTTTAGCACTCGGCATGTTAATTACCAGTGTTCATTAAATGATGACCATTAGACATACCTACATAATTACATCTAACAAGGAAGTAAACTTAGAGTCATACCAATGACTTTTATTTAAGATTATTTGCAAGGTGGCATGGAAGAAGGGTTGGTGAAGATGTGTGGGTGGCTCATTAAATATCTTCCTTCACATTTTCGAGAATTACTTTATTCTATTAAAATATCTTTTATTCTTTGTGTTTCCATAAAAAGGCAACAGAACAAATCGCACTCTCAACCAAGATTCCAGCAGCAGTTGGAGTATGATACAGGTGTCCTGGGGAGCAGCTGAACCACCCATCTGCTTCAAGTCACTCGGTGTCTGCAGGCACATTTATAGCCACCCTCCCTCGGTACGATGTGCTGGGCCTCAAAAACACCAGCACAGCAGTGGTGATGTGGCAACAAAGTACTATTTGGGCTCTTTTTCAAACAGCAGGGCTGTGGATGCTTCCCCATGTTTCTCCTTCCTAGAGCTCCTTCTTTCCGCCACTTTCTTGTGAGATCTCATCTCCATCCTCAGGCCTATTCTTTCATTTCTCTCCTTTCTGCTCTCAGGTCCCTGAAAGAAGAAGGTCAGAAAAGGGTAGAAATGTGCAGGTTGCTGACAACATTCCACATTTCTCCTAACAATCAAAAGGAATAAAGCCCTGATCGTTTAGTAGACTTCCACATCTGAGTCCCTAGTAATAAATCAGCATAAGCCTAAGGGTGTTGCTAATGGTTTCAGCTAGAAATAAAAGAAAATAGGGGGCTTAGTCATGAGGAGATGGTCTGTGGAGGAAACGCAAGTTGCACATGACTCTTGACTCTTTGATGCTGATGAACAGAGGGATATGGTTTCACAGCACTATAAAATTAATAGTCTCTTGGTGCTTTTAGAAAAGGAATGTGGTGAGTGAATCATACATGGAATGATTCTAACCTCCCTGTGTCCACAACCTTAAATTACATTAATAGTAGGCTTTGCACTAAGTTTTAGTGTGAAGAATGAAGTGTGGAATGAGATCCAACCACAATAACATTCCCTGATAGGTTGCCCAGGGGTCCAATTCACAGATTTATTGAACACTGTGTGTTCTAGGAACTATGTGTTTTAGGGTCAGAAGATATTGCACTAACTAGAGAGACCTTATTTCCTAGATATTACATCTAGTCGAGGGAGACAATCAATCAATAAGCCTAAAAGGTGACAAGAAAATAACAGGTAAGTGCGATGATAACTATAAACAGAGTGATATGGTAGGGAAGTGGCGGTGGGTGGGGGACACTTCTTGTTTCCATGGTCAGGGAGAACCTTTTTAAGGAATAACTGACTAAAGAATGGCATTGATAAATGTGATGATGGTATCTGTTTAGACTTCCATTTTTAAAAATAAGCAAAATCATGACTCTCCTTCTTCTCCATTTGACCTGGAAACACTGGGAAACCTCTGAGCATCTATCAGGTGAACATACACAGTAGTGAGTGGTGGTCAGGTGAGAAAGGTCTTGACTCGGTCCTGCAGGCTTAGTCATGGAGGGTCTGGTTACTGTGGTTGTGTCAGCTGCTCTACAGTGCTAAATTGTTCTTGGATTGCTTCCTCTCTACCTATAATGGTCCATGGTTAAGGTCAGAAAGCAAAATAAATGATGAAGCTGAGATATGTTAAGAACTTACAAATTGTGCTAGCTCTGTAAATGTGCCTCCCAGATTATTTTCTTTAGAGCCAGTAGTTGTATTAGATCCATCAGTCTGAACAAAATTGATATCTAGCAGTTATGAATGTTTCTAATACTTATAAGAACAATATAAAAAAGAGAAAATATTGTGAATATTATTTCCAATTTGGCTTTGCCTTTATTGAGAATAAAGAATGCCTGAGAAATGCTTGTAAATAATGACCTGAAATATTTTTTCTTACCTCATCACTGAGAAACAAAATGTGAAAATTATCAAAAGAAGCCAAATAAGTTTTCAGTATCAAAATGAAAGACTGCAATGTTGTGGGTCATAATGAGGTCAGGAGAGTAGTGTCTGGCTCTTCTTGATGCTAAAGAATGTGAAATTTAAATCTATGGATTGGTATAAACAGATCCATTAGTATAAACAATACATTTGGCCCCCAAAGGATAATATATATCATTTTTAAATTTGCTGACAAACCACACTTCTTAGTGTAGTTAGCCTTAGAAAAGTCTGTCAAGTGCTGAAGAGGAAAAAGTTTTAATGTATCTGTATATGTTCTGAATTTTTAATTTTGCATTAAGATAAACTTTATGATACACTCATTAAAAACTGATACAAAATAAAACATTTAATTTAAAATTATCATGTGATATGAAAAAATTTGAATAATTTTATAAATTCCTAGCAGGTTTCTAGTTATTATATATAAGTGAGTTCTTGAGTCAAAAAATTTGAAAATGCTGTCTTGGTCATCTTGGCATTCAAAAGAAAGAACTTCGGAAATAAATGAACAAATATATTTTATACCTAAGGGATAATGTGATGACTATCTCTTTAAATAAAAACACTGATTTCACATTTACACATTTTTAGGGCTTATTATAATATTAGCGAATGATTTCATATGACCGGTTATATAAGATTATATGTTGTTATGTGAAATTTTTTCTAAGGCCATCAGAATCAACAAAGAACTGTTCAGATTAAGATTTTTTTCAAAATATATTTATACCCTACCTTGTTCCAGTATGAATTTAAGGCAACTAAGCCTCCCAAATTAATATAATGAATGACTTGAATATGTAGTTTTAAAACAGGAATTCTTCCACTTGTATTTTATTCCCCTCAGAAGGTTCATAATCTTAATCTAATCACAAGGAAAAATCAGATAAACTCAAATGGAGCATCATTCTAAAAAATAATTGGCCTGCACTTCTCAGATGCTAGTGCCATGAAAGACCAGGAGAGACTAAGGAACTGCTCCAGAATGAGACAGATTAGAGGGGCATGAATATCAATTGCAGTTCATGATCTGAAGTCTCACTATACAGAATATTATGGGGTCAAATGACAAAATATGAATAAAGTCAATAGATTAGATGTAAAATATTGTATTGATGTTAATTTCCTGAGTTTAGTTATTGTATTGTGTTTATGTAAGAGAATGTTCTTGTGCCCTTGCTTGGGTTTGAGAAGGAGAGAGAGGGTATAGGTAACTATGGCAACGTGTCAACATTTACAGAGACTCTAAATGAAGGGTGTATTCTTTTTACTATTCTTGCAACATTGCTGAGTCTGAAACCATATTTTTTTAAAAAACAATATAAAGGAAAGACAAAATAGGAACGCTTACTAGGGTTTAGATATAGTAAGTGGAAGCTGCTCAGTATTTTTCATTCCTTAATCTTCTTATACCGGGTAAAGAGAGCAGGCAAATGCACACGGTGGCAGTCCCCACAGCCAACACAGCTAAGCAGAAAGCGCTGCTCTCAGGTGGACAATGAAGTAGGAAGCACTCACAGAGAACTTCCCATTGATTCACAGAGCATAGCTCAAGAACCAGGTCGGCAATAAGCCTAGTCACTGCCTAGTCATACACCTAGTCATTCTGCCTACTACATGGCAGAAACATATCATTTTTCCTGTTTTGAAAAATAAAACAAAAAACCAAAGGCCCACAAAAAAAAAGTATTCTGCTCCAGGTCCACTTAGTGAGCGTGTTGCAGAGTTGAAAATGACCTCCAAATTAATTGATTTGTAGTACTTCATGCATCAAGGTTGGCATATATCATTGGAGTTTCTATTCTTCCCCCATTTCATGCCTGTTTCCTTTGTGTTTTACTTAGACTCCCAGGAGGCCATTGTGAGCTCTTGGGCTGCTCCTACTTTTGGATATTTACTAGATAAGATGGCATCCAAAAAAACTCCTTCTGTATACTTTTTAGAAGTACAGAAGAGCACAGTGCCATCATAGACTGTTTACTATTGGATTAAATATGAAAGGCCGGGAGTAGTAGTAAGGGCAGCTCTTCTGTTCTTCAAATACTGAAGAGAACAAGTCAAAATGATTTATAGTAAGGGTAACAAAAACAATCTTCAAGAATCAGGGGACTCAGGAACAAAAACATTCCACCTATGGTCCTCCAGGAATTCTTCCTACACCAGAAGTCTTCAATTGAAAAAAAGAAAAAGAAAATTTATACACCTGGGCTATCTGAAACTGAGTGTCACTTTTCAGAGATCTCATCACCAAGCTCTAAATGAAGAAGTTAGATTTGTTCTCTTTAAACTTGGGGAGGATGAGCCCTTTGGGTTTACTTTTCTAAAGTGGCCTAAATATTCAACAAGTCTACTTTAATAAGTGGTTTAAATATTCATACCAGAGAGACAGAGCGTTTAGTTCTAAAGCACAGTTGCTGTTCAGAGGACTCTGAAAATGTATGAATTCTGGAATGAGGTCTTCCTTTTGATTCCAGTGGCTCCCTGAAGGACCCATCCCCTGAGCATTTTCTGTAATCCCGCGTGTGGGTCTGGCATTGAAGCCCTTGGTCCTCATGAGGCTGCTTTCCAGGATGGCTGCCAGATGCTGGGATTCTGGGAAGCACAAGAAGCTGGGAATACAGAATAACATTTTTCACATTATGAAAAGACTGCACAGTATTGGCACAGAGACAGAAGAGCCATAAATCATAAACTAAACAGATGTTATGTTGAGCTGAACTTTATCTTCTGGATCCATAAGGCCTTTCTGCTACAATGAAGCAGTAGAGCCAATTAGTTAAAACGTTAACTAGAGCACCCCAAGGCCAGCTTTGTTATTCTTCTACCATTAGAGCAGTGTAATGAAGTGTTTCAAGCTTTAAGGTGAAATGTAAAAATAAATTCCAAAATTATCAAAAAAAAGATGTTTCATGTAGCCATAGATGTTTAAGAAATAATACCAAGGTGAAGGTTTATGTGATTTCAGTATGGAGAAGTAATTTCTAAGCAAAAGAATAATAGGAGAAGGCATAGGAAGAAAAGAGATTTAACTATGTAAAAATAAAGCTAATGTGCACCAAAAGCCACATAAACAAACGTAAATGGCGGATAAAGCTTCAAAATATTTAGTACATGTTTCTAATGTTTAATAGACAGCCTGAAAATAAGTATTTCTTACATATACCCAGGCAAACAAAGAGGTCGTATAGTACAGTGATATCAATGTCAAATCACAATTAGAAAATGATCAAAGGACTGGCAGTTCAGAGAAGCCAGGCTTCTTGGAAGAACTGTGACACTTGCTTTCTCCATTTCTCTCACTTCCCAACTCACTGAAATCTAGTTTTCACATCCACAACTGATTTTGGTCAGGATATTTGTCTCCACATCATCAAATCCTATACACCTTTTGGTCTTTAACCACTCAGTAGTAGTCAATATTGTTGCGCATAGGGCACTTCTGGAAACCCTTTCCCTTGCCTCCTGTCACTGCCCCCTCTCGGTTTCCCTTTGTTCTTTCTGCCACAGTTTTGTAGACGTTGCTCACTCCTCCCTCCAGCTGCCCATAACTGGTGGAGTTCTCCAAGGTCTGCTCTTCCTTCCCTTCCTTCCCCTTCTCACTTTACACTGTCCGCCTCAGTATCTCACCCTCAGGCTTCAGTTTCTAGCTATAGTCTGATTCCCTAATTTATGCTGTTACCCAGAACCCCCTCAGAGTTCCTGTCCACTCAGGTTCACTACTGGTGTCCCACAGACACCCGGCCTGACTTGTCCAAACTTGAACTCATCATCTCTCCTCCACAAACCTGCTCCTCAAGTGTCCCCTGACTCAGAAGATGGCAGGACCATTCATCAGCTGCTCAGAAGCCACCGTCCGCATCCTATTGCCCAGTCAGCAGATTCCACTTCTCAAGTGTCTCACAAAGCCATACACTCTTTTCCAGGGCCGCTGTTACTATGGTAATCCAAGTCTCCATGCCCTAAAAAGCACCTTTTTACAATATATATGCGTGCTGCCTGCACGGCCATGGTCTATCTCCCCCGCTGTGATGCAGCCTCTGGCGCTGGAACAGAATCCCCCCTTTCCCCCCACTGGCACACCAGCTGGGCTCTGAGCTCCCAGGCTACAAAGCCTGCAGCAGGTACGGATTTCCAGAGCAGTATTGTCCCTGCGCACTGACCCGAAAAACAAAGAGCACTCCTTGGCAGCCTAGCTGTTTCCACTGTGATCCCAGAAAACAATTCTGTCAAAGAAAAATCCTATGCACCCTCTGGCCCAAGTCATTGGTTCTCATTTGAAAAGAAATCGTGATATAATATCTTCACCCCAAGAACTTAACTTCTTGAGGTTCTATATCCCGGCTTTAATTGCAATGACCCTTTAGTTGTACCCAGCCTGCCCTCTGAGTAAACACAGCACCTGGGCCACCCATTGACAGCAAGATGAGAAGCAATGAGGAGGAAGTTCCAGGAGCTGGGATAAGAAGACCCATGCTGAGATTTAGTGCCCAGCGTATACCAGGCATGCCTGGACCATGTCCTTAATCTCTAGCCTCACAACAAATCCTACAAGGGAGTCACTCTTCCCCGTTTACAGATGAGGAAAATAAGTCTTAGTTTGGCCGAGAGACTTGCCTAAGATTTAGGAGATTCATGATTTTACTGGAGAGACAAAGTGGCAGGCCTAAACATGAGACATCCTAAACTTTCATCTTCAATAGCAGCCACTTCATTTTATTTCTATGTGAAACTGCCTATAAATGTGACTTTTAACAATATATCAGTTATAACAGAATTCTATTACAAAAATAATAACAATAATATGTAGGTCTTTAGGAATTAATCTAAAAGATTTTTAGGTGAGGAATATTTCATAACATAGTCTAATGCTATCAAAAGAGCCAAGAGGGTTGTAAATAACCACTCCGTTCTGCCGCCTTTCCAGATATTCTTCTACCTTAGAGTCTAGTAGAAGAGAGAAAAGGAGTCTGTAGAGCATTAGGGGAAAGTTCCTCTGCAGAGTCATCACTGATCCTGAAATCCTATCACTCATTTTGTTTCCTTGCATTAAGGCATTGTCTCCTGTCGAAATTAAACACAAACTTAATCAGAAAAACAAAAAACCTCTGTTAGTCCTAAAACCTTTGGGCATCCCCTCTCTGTTCAGGTTTGTGAGAAATCCTTTAAGACGCCACCCCTATAATGAGAAGCTGTGATATGTCGTCTCATTATAGTGTGAATGTGTAGCCAGCGTCAAGTGAATCAGGAATAAAAATACAAGTTAAAATATATTTTACTACTTTAAAGCGAGAAGGGGAAGAGAGAATATGAAATTGGTTAAAGATGCTAATTTTTAAAAGCAAAAAAAAAAAGAAAATCCCTTGGGAGCAGATAGGTAGAGGTTTATTTTATATCCTTTCAAATGATATCGTGACAGCAAGCACATATGGTTCCTACCTTGGAGCATAAAGGAAGCACCAAGAAAGTCCCTTTGGAGTCAGCAAAGCTCTAGGCCAGGGAACTCAGTTCCTCCTTGAAGAGGTCTGTCTCTCATTTAGAATGATCTTCCCTTCCACTGAGCCCAAACTGTTATAGAACAATGTTAAGAGAACCTTTCAAAGGATATGGAGATGACTAGAAAGCTGAATAGACCAAAGTATTAAAAATCCAGTTTCAATGAGTAGAGTAAATAAGTTATATAAACTGTTTTACTTCAAGTTTGTACTCGTGTGATAATGGTGAGATCAGTTTAGTAATGAGAGATTTCACATTACTTACTTTTTTCTTTCCACCAAGGACATCAGGTCAGTAAAGTTAGATTGTTTCATTCACTTTACATCAACAATTACAGTTTGTAAAGAGTCCTATCATAAAGTAGAGTTCTCTGAGAGGACAAAGCTTTACCCCTCATCTATTGCATTGTTTCTGCCAAATCTGTATTTTCCCCTAGACTGGAAGTTCCACAGACACGGAGATCATGCATGTCTTCATTTACCCTGAAATCCTACTGGGCCTTGCCCAATGCCTGGTGCATAAATATGTTCAATGAATTAATGCTCCATCACTATGGTTTTGCAAGAATCATGAGGCTGAAAAGCCGTATCAGAAAACATGTTCAAATAGGAAAGAAGGGGAAAACTTCTCTGTGCATGTAATATTGATGGATATAGGTTATTAATAGGTTACAAGAGGAGAGCCTTAGACTGGAGCAATGTGGAGAGAGTAAAAAAGATAAGGCTAAGAGTCAGCTCTCCTTTTTAAGTTATTTTCATTGAGCTCAAAGCAAAGCAGAAAAATTTTAAAAAACTGTATATTTTCATTATCTCTAACGTAAGGAAAATTCTAACACATTTTAGAGTTAGGAAAAGTTAAGTATCCAACTACAGATGCACTTCAGAAATACATGGCATTATGTGACCAGAGATGAAGGATCAGACTGCCAACTATTTGACTGTTTTCCATGTGGCCCTGGACGCCCAGGTCTGTGTTCAGTGTTTGTGCTCTCTCTACTCTCTCTGCTCTGCCCAGTCGGATTGTCATTTTTATTCCATTCTTTGTCTCCTTAAATATACACATGCTTTCTGTATGTTAGTCTGGTAAGTTTGGAATTCATTGTTGACTCAGAGAATCAAAACAGGTCAATTCAGTCAAGTGCCTGTAGTTGAGCCAAGCAGGAAAAGACATATGGATTCCATTTAGAAATGCTATACATAAATTCTGCTAGTCCCCAATAGTTTAAGGCAAAAAACATTGCAATCTAAAAGAGAATTCTCTAAATAAGGTGGATTATCTCAGTTTTTAAAGCCTAATAGATGATAAAATGTATTCAAGAAGCTGTATTTTATGTCAGACTTCATTTTCATATTTTCTGTGGCTCCAAAGAGCTGTTGTTAAATAGCAAATCATGATTTTTCCCTTTATTTCTTCCTGGTTCTCACTATCTTGAAACTGAAAACTAATCAGATTCTGTTCACACATGAGTACCTCACTTGATGTGGAACATAAATTATTAAAATGAGAGTGTGATAAACAGTTGTTTATTTTATAACAGAATTGCGGAAAATCACTTCTCAGAGATTGTCCAATACCACCTCTCTTCTTTTTCACTTAAGAACCTGAGCTCAAAGAAGTATTGAAATTTTCCCTTTGTCCCTGAGCACGCATTTGGTAAGAGATCTGTTTTCAAACATGTGTGTCTCAAAGTTGCTAATCACGGGGAGTAAAAGAGGTTGCCTTATACACTCTAATATCCCACACAGGAATTATGCATCTGGGAACTGTGGAGCTAAAAATAAAATAACATTACCCCCCAGATTACCGGTTCTGGGGTTGGCAGAAGCAGAGGATTGGGGAGGATTTCTCCGATAGCTGGAATTCCTAGTGACTTGTGAAGAAGTAAAGCTATCTTGTTTCTGTAAAACCATGAAGCAGAGGACAAACATGTCTACTTTGGAGCCATCTAGCACCCAAGTTGAGCAGAGAGAACTGCCGCCTGTACCTGCTGCCAAGTTCACACCTAGTCAGGCCCACCCACCCCTCTCACCCCTCTCAAGAGCTTTTCTGCTCATATCTTGCTCCCCAGACACGAAGGGCTCTGCCTCACCACAGGAATATAGTGCTAAGGGGAGAGAACTTTGCTTCCCTCTCCCCCAAGGAAACCCAATGGCAATCAGAAGGAAAAGTGTATCAGATTTATCAAAGGTAGCCACTTATTATGTGGAATCTCCAATTCTTTAATGGTCACCAAATAGTGGAGATATTTTCAGTATTTCAAAAAGACTATTGGAAACATGCATTGATCCACACCAGTGCCACAGACTACAACATCAAATTTCTTTCCTTTGGCTTGAATTATATTATCACTCAGGATTATCTCAGGTTTCTCAGGAGGTCTGAATAGCAGTTAAAGATATCTTAGGTTACTACAGATAAAGAAATCTTTACCAAAGAGATGAAAATCAGGTCCCTTGGAGGACAAGGTAAAATAATAAAAGGGATTTTGTGGGCACAAAAAAAGTTGGGAAGTACTGATTTTCAAACAAAGAAAATTTTATACCAAAGGACTCTTCAAAAATGATCCAGGAAAACTCCCCCCTCCCCTAGTCCAGCTCTCCCTTGGCTCCATCGTAAGAACTCACTGGGCAGGGCAGGGAGCTTTTCCTGTGTCAGGCATCTTGTGATCCGTGGCAGTCCCGGAGTCCTCTCCCTTCCTCTATCCAGCTGTAACCCCAGAAGCTGCTCATCCATTTGGCAAAAGATACATCATTGTTGTCATCATCCTCGTGCTCCATGTAAAGGTGATTCAGAATATGGAAGGCCTGTCCCTCAATCTGGCAGAGAGCAGTATCACCCAACACAGCTGACTTGGTGAAGCCCGGGGTCTCCCCGAAAGTCAAAATGAAACTGGTATTTCCAAATGACCTCCAATAATGAGATCCTTAACGGAGAGAGATTTACTAAACAACCATTTCACCGTTAGGCAGCCTCGGGTACTGTCTATTTATAAATTGTGCAGCCTACACTCCCTTCCCCTCCCCCTGTCTTTTTCAATTGAGAGGCTTGTTTTAATCCTTCCATTGCTAGGGCTTGAGCCTCGAAGCCTAAGGGCAGGAAAAGCGCAGAACACTGCCCAGTTTTGCCTGTGCTTTGCTGTGCATGGCAGGTGATGGCATCTCCAGCTGTCGGTGGTGGAGCACGACCCTCATGATGTGCCTGTCAGCTCCAGGCCGGCTCTGAAATGGGGCACTCACAAGAGACAGACTGACTGCAGCCTGCAAGATGGCAGGCTATTGGCATATCGAGAGCTAGGTCCTCTGCTAATAAATAACACTGATATTGATATAAAATCCAGCTCCTGGAACAAAGGGAGTACCCAACACCCACAGGCACATATGCACACACACATATGCACCCCCTACATATGTGCACATGCATCCACAACTGTACAAGAATTTCGGCGTGAATAATCCTGAGGATCAGGCCTGCTGCTGAAGGCAAGACCTGGGAACTCGAGGTGGGTGCTGCACACTGTCCCCCAGACAGCCTGACCTTTCACACTTCTCTCTATGGATCCCCAGGTACTCTTCTTGCTCACATGGCACCAGGGACAGATGTCACCCGACTAGAACCTTCAGTCTGTCGGGGACCCGTGCCATCTCCAAAGTATGTACACTTGCGTGTCCTATCTATGCCACACACTCTACACTCCCCATACGTGTTGCCTCTTGATTGGAATTGCCTGTGTTGCTCTTTGTCCCTTTTTACAACATTGACTTTTGAGACTCCTTGGAACATGGAGATGTCAAACCTGACCTCAGCCCTTGGGTTGAGGAATGGCTTTTGCTGTTTGTGGTTTCTCTTTCCAGCTGTCTACATTTTTCTTGTTTTTGTTTTGGCCATGGGAACAGCCAGCCATTTCCCTTCTGGCTTCTGGCTCTGGTGTCACACAGACTAAGGTCCCTACCCCAGATTGTGCACGTCCTTACTAAGAGAGCTTCACTTAGGTACCTAATCTTTAATTCACTGGGATGCCCCTTTCGAAACAGAAAAATGCTATTTTAAGTTAAGACAGAAATGAACTAGTTCCCTCATAAAATATGTGGGCAGACACAAAAGGCACCTGTTGTTTGATTCCATTGATAGGAAAGCTCCAGAATAGAGGAAGGAGCAGAGAGAGAAAACAGACTGGAGGCTGCTGGGGACCAGGGGAGGGGGATTGGGGAGCGAGTGCCCTGGGACAGGGTTTGCTTTGGGGAATGACATGCCCTGACCTGGCTGGTGGTGAGGGCTGCAGTACTGCACTTAGTACACTTAGTACCCATGATGCATTCAATTCAAAATGGGAAAGACACCATTGTAATTCATTTAAAATTTTAACTTAGAGAAAATCATTAACTATATAAAACAAAAATGGAAAATTCTACCAAAATCAAACACAAACACACACGGGTCAGGAAAAGATGCAGTAGGGAAGCAGGTGGACTGAGTGGTTGGGGAGTTGGTGCAGAGAACTGTTTTGGACCTGGCACTCCCTGCAGGGGTGGGCAGACCAACTGGGCTCTTGATGCCCTGCAGGTGCAAGGGCAAGAGCAGGGATCAGCTCTGCCTTCAGGAGTCTGGGGTCCTGACCCAGCCCAGATCCCCTGCAGGGACAGGAGCAGGTGCCCCGTCTCCCTGCCTGGGTATGTTGTCCTGTGCAGGCTCAGGGGTCCCCTGCAGAGGCAGGAGCAGGGGTCAGCTCATCCTCTAGTGGTCTGGGGTCCTGCACTGGCTCTGGGTGCCTCAGACAGGAGCAGGTGTCTCGTCTCCCTGACTGGGTGTAGTGTCCTGAGCTGGCTCTGAGTCCCCTGCAGAGGCAGGAGCAGGACTCAGCTCTTTGTGTTTGTCCCACTGGAGTTCATTTGAGCTTCTGAATGGGTAAGTTTATGTCTTTCATCAAATTCATGAAGTTTTCAACCATTATTTCTTCAAATACATCTGCTCCTTTCTCTTCTTTTGGACTCCCATTATGCATATGTTGTTACATTTGAGGATGTCTGCAAAGTCCCTCAGGGCCTGCTCATTTTCCTTCACTCTTTCCTTTCTGCTCCTCAGGTAGAATAATTCCATTGCTTTTTAATCAAGTTCACTGATTCTCTCTTCTGCCTGCTCTGATCTCCCATCAAAGTCCTCTAAGGAGTTTTCATTTTATTTGTACTTTACACCACCAGAATTTGTTTGGTTCCTGTCTTTTTATTCAGTTCCCTCTTTGTTTTTACCTCATTCTCTTGATTTCCTTTAGTTTTCTGTCCAAGTTTCCTCCAGCTCATGGGACATATTTAAGACAATGGACATAATGTTTTTGACTAGTAATTTCAATATCTGGGCTTCCTCCAGGATGGTTTCTGTCAAATTCTTTCCTATCCTATGAAAAAGCCACATTTTCCTGTTTCTTTGTAATTTGATGAGAACTGGATTCTGAATGTTATTATCTGGAAATTAGATTCTCCCCATTCTCAGGGATTGCACTTGTTGCTTGTTGAGGGCTGCAGTCCTCCATTTCTAAGGTGGCTTCTCCAAAACGTGTTTGCAAAGCCTGTATTCCTTGCTGTGTAGCCACTGAAGCTTCTGCCCATTGTCTTGGTGGTCAGTGTGTGACCTGGCAGAGGTTCCTCAGCCGGCAGTGTCCAGAGGCACTCCATCAAGTACTCCCATGGTTATCGTTCCTGATGAGGTTCCAGTGTCCCAAAAATGTTGATTCTGATAGTATATCTGTGACCCCCCCCCCACCGCTTTAGTGGCTGTTTCCATGGTGAGACTGACCTCTGGAGATTATGACTCCACCATTTTCCATCATAAGTATTAATTTTACAGACACCCAAGTCTGAGAGGTTGTTGCTATGCCCTGTGAAACCACCTCTGACCTCTGATGCCAGGGGCTCTGAGTGGCTGTCTCAAATTGTCCAGTACAGTGACACCCAGGTGACCATCTTCTCTGTAGAAGGTGAATTTGTATATTTCCTTACAAGAGCCAGAGAAGGGTGGCTGGCTTTTCTTCCTTCCCCTGCATATCATAAAGTGATAGCCCTGCAAGAGATCCTATTTGAACATGGAAACATAGAATGTGAGACTCTATTCAAACCTAGCTTTTGCTATTTACAACAAATAAATACTGTGCTTCCCCAGCTGGTAGACATTTTTTCTTTTATACAAATATTCATCCCCCTGCTCCCCTTGCCCCAAATCCTCCTTTCCCACTAAGCCACATCTCATTTGGTCTTGTGAAGCCCAGGATGCAGTGGTGAATGGCACTGATAGTGTCATGAGGTTCAACATCAATGGGACTCAACTGAGAGCGTCCTACCCCTGGGGGGAAGAGTGTGGTCTGTGAAGAGGGTCTCTCTCCCCTCCCGGTGGGGGGGTGAGTGGGATGTGGGTGACACTCCCTCATCTCAGTTGGCCCTGACCATGAATCTTTGGTGCAGCCTGAGAAAACCTTGGTGGGAGGAGGGTCTAGAACCCTGGGAAAGGCCTGGGCCAGTAACTGTGAGCATGAGGAGAGTACTGCAGTGGTCAGACCTTGTAGGTGAGGGGTGCCATTGGGCAAGGTGGCAGTGACCCCCACCTGGGAAGTTGGATGGAAGAGCACAGAGGGCAGTGCCCTGGTAGCATGAGGGGCTCCAGGCCCATGGGCAGCACTGCTCAGCAAAATCAGGTGGTCCTCTGGTTCCAGAGAACAGAAGGCACCTGAGGCAGTGAGGGGTCCATGGGAGGCCAGGTCAGCCCATTGACAGGCAGGTGTCAATCCTGGCAGCAAGAGAGGTCAGGGTGAATGAGTCTGGAGGAAGCCTGGGCTGGCAGGTTGGGCAGAAGGCCTAGACGACTGGAGAGTCTGTAAGTGCTTAGCTGCTGGCCAGTAGACACTGGAAGAGCAGTCCCATGGCCAGACATGCTTGGGACTAATTAGAAGATGTCCTTGGTAGCCTCAAGTTCCTTCTACTTTATGTGAAGGAGGGTTATGCTGGCTCCACGCCTGACTTTTCTCCCTGTGCTGAAGGTCTGTTTCTTCAGGACAAAATCATAGTTGGCAGTAGAGTTCATGCCATAGAACACATTGGTGTTCTTAGGGATCTTCAGCTCTGGGGGGAAGGGGCAGAGATGGTCAGCAGTGTTTACAGGGGCCTCGTTGGGATGCTCACACTTGAGAGCCCCCAACAAGGACAGGCCTGAGCCAGAGACCTGAGACCCCCAACCCAACTCCAGCAATTTGCCAAGGACTCCTCTTGATGACACCTGCCTGAGGACAGCCTCTGCTGAGGCACTGATGACTCCAGAAGTCCCCACCTCTGACTGGAGCTGGCAAAGGGCCAACTATCCCTCCCCTGCTGCCCTTGCTGATCAGAATCTTGAGCTGGAACAGCCTTTCTAGAATCCAGAACCCATGCCCCACTCATGACAAAGGCTCTGGAGCCCAGCGAAGGGCAAGACCCAGGAGGCCTCCACACTCCCTGGGTACCAGGCACCCAGCAGTCCTTACTCTTGGCACCCATTTGTTCTGCTCTAGAGCAAACCCAAGCTGGCAAGAATTGGTGCTCAGGTCTCTATGGGGCTCTTATTCTAGTTTCTTAGCCTGTCTGTAAGCGGGGGTCCCACCTGCCCTGCCCATCTCACCAAAATGGTGCAAGAAGGTGAGAGAGGACTTAGTAACAACGTCTAGGGATTGTGGGAATAGCTACACACTGTCTGTGCTAAGGGCTGGGAGGTGGCAGCAAGCTCAGGAGAAAGAAAACAGAATGAGGATATTTACAGTTCACCAATGGCACATGTCCACCACAGGTGCTTCTAGATCTACACATTAACCACTGGTTACTAACCTAAAGGCAGAGAGCACCTTAGGAAGGTGCTGAGGGCTCCGAGTCTGTGCTTGTTCTTGAGTCCAATCCTTTCCATTTTTTAGAAAACTCAGCTGCTTCCTAGTAGCCTCTGCTTTGTCATTGGTGTTTGCTATGGTCTAATTGTTTGTGGTCCCAAAATTCATGTTGAAATCCCAATGCCCCCCACTACCATTAGGAGGGTGATGGCATTAGGAGGTGGGGCCTTTGAGTGGTGAATAGGTCATGAGAGCAGAGCCTCATGAATGGGATTAGCATTGTAGAAAAGAGCCCCCAGAGAGCTCTCGCACCCCTCCACCAAGTAGGGCACACAGAGAAGCTGGCCATCTGAACAGGGAAGAGGGCCTTCACTAAACCTGACCATGCTGGCTCCTGATGTTGGACTTCCACCCCAGAACTATGAGAAATAAATATTTATTGTTTATAAACCATCCAGGTGGTGGTATTTGTTAGAGCACCCAGGATGGACTAAAATAGTGTCAAGTGTAGAATTTTAACATATTTAGTGCTTAGGTCCACGGCAGTCAGATTCTTTCTGAGGCACACATTTCCCATCTTATCTAGAAAGCGTCCCTTTGAACGACCTGTGGACTTGATCATCTGGCTGCCTTATCTCAGGAAAAAAGCCTTTTCTCCTCATTCCTCAGTGCTGCTAGCTTTAAACTAGGACCCCAATGCCTGTTCACACCCAGGGAAGGGCACAGGATGGGAGCCCATCAGCCCCCAGGGGAGAGCAGACAGTCGCCATTCAGGGCTGCCCCAGGGCAGTCTGGGTCATACACAAGGCCTATCCCCCACCTGGTGGTCCTTTTCCTGTGCCTGGGCATGGTGCTGACCCCTGCTCCCCTCCCTACCTCCTCCCTCCCCACCCTCCACCCACCCCTCTACCTCCCTGGCTCTGACTTACTGTGATCATCAGAAAAACCTGCACCAGTTCATAGTCTCCTGGCGCATCCTCATCCAGGCTGTATTTGTCCATGGCCTTGCGGATTATGGCTGGCAGGGGACAGGCCATCAGGGCAAGGGTCCTGGAGTAGCTCCCTAAGAGTGCCGCAGCCAGGGGCTCTTGGATATGCCTCGGCTGCATACAGGGGCTCAGCCTCTGGCTGGGTGCTAGGTCCAAGGGGCCTCACAACCTTCTCAGGCCCCTGGGGAGACCTCCATGTGATGGTGAGAGGCCTCTCCCAACTGTCCCCATCCCCATTCTCCTACGAGCTTGCCCCCTCCTCCCTGCCCACCTAAGGTAACTGCCTGCCTCCAGGGTCTGCTCCCCTGACCCTACCCTCACAGGACAAGGGTATCAGTGAGCCCAGGGAACAGAGTCGAGGCCCAGTCCTAGAGTTAAGAGAAGAGGAGCGAGCCAGACACCCAGGGGCCGCCTACATAGTGGGCCTACATAGGGGCTGGAGGCTGCAGTGGTGGCCAGAGCACAGGCAGGCCTTAGGTACAGGGTCACACAGGTGACAGTTTAATGACACTGTGCTTGCTCCTGACTGTCAGCACAGGGTGGGTGTGGAATGGGGCACCTGACCCAGGGTGGGTGGACTAGAGGCAGGTGGGGCTTGCAGCTGGCTCCTCTGCAGCCTGTGTTCTGGGGGATAAGAGGAGTCCCCCCAGCTTACACATCTACAGGCAAATCCCGTTGCCTGATCTCCGTCTTCAAATCACATCCAGTGTCTGAAACTGCTGGCCACCTGCCCAGTCACCAGCCTGGGGCAGCCACCAATTTCCTGCCTGGACTGCAAAGCAGCCTCCTACCCAGCCCCATGGGGAGAGCCAGGCCACGCTGCCTCTCCCCTGCTGCTCCACCTCCCTCTATGCTTCCCTGCCCCTTACCTTCACCCTGGTCCTCCTCACTGCTCCTCCAGCCCCCAGGCACCCTCCTGCCTCAGGCTTTGCAGCTCCCTCCTTCCTTCCCCATCTCCTCACACTTTCTCCCTAAAGCCCTTCCTGACCTTTGACCCAACCCTAAGGCTCCTGCCCTTGGTACTGATCCTCACCAACTGCACGGGCTGCTTTCTTTCCCTATCTGGCTGCCCACAGGTCCTTCCCAACCACTAGAAGGTCAGCTCCAAGAGGGGAACCTTACATGGTTCTCCTCAGATTTGCCATCAGGTAGAGTGAGGCAAGGGGCCCGCCATGCGGCTCACCAGGATGCTCTTGTACGTGTTCCCATTGTCCACATCCAGCCTGATGCGGATGATGCAGCAGTCACCCACCTGCTGGTTGTAGAGGGTCTGCAGAGAACTGTGGTTGCAGATCCCTGAGGCGGAGCGCTGGTAGATGTGTGCAGCCGTCACAGGCAGGCCGCAGGCTGAGGACAAGGAGGAGCCGCTGGAGGCCAAGCTGATGCTGGAAGTCTCTGCGGATGACTGGGGTCAACACCCAGAGCAGTGGGGACAGGACAGCCTGATCAGCAGGAGCCCCAGGCTGGGCTGCAGCTCTGGGGGCTTCTGGGAGCTGGGGTTCCTGGCCCATGGTAGCTGTGGGATGGGGGACGCTGGCCATGGGAAGGGGGTCTGGGGACCATCAGAGAGTGGGGTGGGCAACCACCTTCTTTTCCTGGCCATCAGGGGACTCAGGGACAAGGCTCAATTTGTTCTTTTCCACGTCTGAGCTAGAGTAGCCAGCCGAGTGGACGCTGAGTGCATCAGCAACATCCCTGCTGCCCAGGTAGGTGCTGACCTGAGCTGGTCGCTGGACTTGGAGTGGGAGCTGCCACCAGTACTGAGCTCCGTGCTGGGGGCCTAGTGGCTTCATGGAAGGGCCGGCTTACCTGGGGGCCTTGCCTGTGACACACACACACCCCTGCCCCCTGCACTCTGAGCTCCAGGCCCTGGACCAAGTGTTCGGTCAATCACCAACACCCCATTTGCTCCAGACTTCTGATTGGTCACTTACCATCGCCCTGCTTCACAGGGAAGAAACAGAGGCCCGGAGAGGGGGAGCAAATGACCCCAGTCACAGGGCTGCTCAGCGGATACGCTGGGGTCCCTGTGCCCACTGTCTGCCCCTAAGGCCCTCACTCAACCCAAAGCTTCCTTGAGCCCCAAGGGAGCCCCCGCCCTCCCAGGCTCTCACTTGCTCCAGCGCTTGACGATGGCCATGTTCTTCTTGGACTTGAGGGTATTGCTGGATGACTCGCAGGGAGACTCCAGCTCACAGGACAGGTTGTAGCTACTGAACAGAGCGCCACTGTGAGCCACCAGGAGCCACAGTCACATATCCCTCCCCACAGCTGGAGTCAGTTGCCCAGCCGGAGCCAGGCAACAGAGTCCAGTGCTGGCCAGGAGCCAGGCACTCTGGAGCAAGCCCCCACAGACAGCCTGTCCATTCTGAGCTCAGCTCCTGCCTGGCCTAACCTCAGTCTCGCTGAGCAGCTGCAGCCCGGGAAGTGCTCCTCAGGTGCAATGCTGTAATTGTTGCAGGCCGACTGGAGCAGCCTGATCTGCGCAATCACTTCGATTTCCAGAGGGAAGGACAGGATGGTGACAGCTTTGGTCAGGAGGGCTGAGAGGGTGTGGCCTGCATGGGAAGCAGTCCTGAGAGGGGCCCCGTGAGACCTGGCTGTGGAGAGGGGCAGTCTCTGGGCCCCTCCTCCTCTCCTCCTGCCCAGGTCCCACCCTGTTCCCAGAGCTGGGTTCAAACACCCCTTCCCAGGAGGTCCGAAGTTCCAACCTCCTGTCCCACCTCCAGGGGAGAGGTTCCCCCTTCTTTCTGTATCCAACTTTCCCATAAACGGAGGGCGTGGAGCCAATAGTTCTTTCTGCACAGGTGGATCTCTGGTCCCTCTGCCTAAGCAGGGGCTGCAGGTACTCACCTTCCTCCTCTTCTAGAAGTTGATCAGTCTCCCCTGGAAGGCAGACAGCCAAGACCCACCCATCAGAGGCTGTCCTCTTGCCTACTGCCATCCTACCCACTCAGGCTGCACTACTCAAAACACACACCAGGGGGCAGGGCATAAACACACACCTGCTCCTCAGTGGGTCCGAGGTGCCAGGGGCAGTGGGCCTCAGCCAGAGCCCTCGGGCAGGAAGGCCCAGCTTGGCCACCACCTGCCTGACCTTGGAGGGCCGGGCCTCTCCATCCATGGCCACTGCCTGAGGGTGAGCTGTGTCCAGTGGGGCCAAGCCCTCCTGCAGCTCCAAGTGCCACCAGCCAGAGCCAAACTATTTCCTCCCTGATGAGTTGGGTGGGTGCCCCTGGCACACAGGTGAGGCTGGGGGCTCTCAGGTTGGCCTGAGGCTCAGGGGTGGGTGAGAGGGCACTCTCCACACAGGCTTCAGGACCCGGCCCCACCGCACCCCAGCCTCCGGGCTCACTCCCACACAGGTAGTCCTTCATGGTGGTGTCCAGCACCACCAGATCTCTGAGGAAAGTGCCCAGGTAGGAAACTACACGCTGGATGACACCCTAGGATATGGGGAGGGGCTGATGAGCAAGGCCCAAGGCCCCATCCATGAATACCCACCAGCCTCAGCCCCGCCGAGGCCCCCACCTGGAGCAGCCTGGGACCTGTAGCCATCTCCCCAAAACCCCCTCCTAGAGCCCATGGACACCAGCCAGCCATCAGTCACCTTGTGGGCCTGGTGTTTGGCAAATCCCCAAGGTGATAGGGTCCCTGGCCTATCTGCCCCAAGCCCACCATGAGCCACTCTTCCAAGCCCTGCCTCTGGTAACTGCAGCTAGTCACCCCAAGACACCAGCTGGTAGGGCCCAGCCCACCAGGGTGCCTGTCCTGCTCCAAGGCCAGACCCCTGCCCTTCCCTGGCCTCGTCACACTCACTATCTCCTCCGGCCAGTCCTGGGCTCTCTTGGGGTTCATCTCCAGGGTGGCAAGCTTGGAGGTCCCCTTCTGCCAGGGTTGAAGATGGGATCAGAAAGCCTTCCTCCCTCCCTGCTTTCCCTTCCAGGGGACCTGACCTTGGGCCTTGGTCACTGGTACAAACACTTGGGCCACCAGCGCCCTGCAGCTTCTCTGGGTGTGGGAACCAGGGCCAGCAGCCCGGCCTTCCTGGGCCTGGCTCCTTACCTGGAGAGGGCAGGCCAGGACGCCACTGCCTCTTGAGGTCCTGGACTCACTCTCACATGAAGATTCCCATTGCTCTCTGTGCTTGCCCTCTTTGTAATGGGTCTGTGCACAAATCTCCCATACATTCCTTTTCTCCCCCATCACCTCCCGTGAGGTAGGCACCCTGGGTCATCCCTCCTCCATTCCCCAGAGAGCGGCAGTGAAATGCCCAGGGTCCCAGACGGACTCAGAGGAGTGGCCTCCCACCACCTTCAACCCCCACCCCAATGCTGACCAGAGCCTCTCAGTGGTGCCAGGGACCCCAGCCTGGGCAAACCATGGAGAGAGGGACAGGGACCCTTGGGGGCCTGGTTGAGTGGCTCCTGCATTACTCAGTCCCACTGGGTTGTCTGTCCCCAAGACCGTGCCAAAGGCTGCACATCCCCAGAGCCCCTCAGGATGCCCTCTGCACAGACCTCATCCACTCAGGGGGGTCTCCTTGGTGCCATCTCAGGGTGGCAGGAGCTGTGGATGGTGACACTCTGCTTACCCTTTTATATGGAAGCTTCTGTGGAAGGTTCATGGATTCATTAGCCCCCTGTACTTCCCACAAGCCATGGGCTTTCATCATGGCTAACCTGGGGCCTGAGGGGAGAATGCAACAAGATTCATTGGGTTTGATGTGCAGCAGGTGCCCCCAGATCTGCCTCCTGGTCATGTGGACCCAGCCTGGCACCCCTTTGGGGTCTGGCCTCTGGGCATCCCCAGAGTACAGTGCCCCTGGGCAGGTGGGGTGCCATCCCTGTGGGGTGCAGTGCAGATGGAAGGAGCACCATGGGCCTGCCCTTGTGGGGACAGGCTAGTTGGGACGGAAGGGACCCCACCCCTGTTCCCAGTCATCACTAGCTGGGAGGAAGCTAACAGCCAGGGGGAGGGACCAGCCAGGAGGACCTGCTAGGGCTGCTGGCTCACCCACCCTGTGGAAACACCCCTGCTGCTTCCACTCCATCCACTACCATGCAGGTGAAGACATAGAACCTTTCCAGCACCCTAGCAGGCTCCCTCCTTCCCATTTCCAATCCAACCTTCCTCCACAATGTTACAATTTCACTTTAAGATGGACTTTTATTTTGCGGCTATTACTTCTGGATATATGATAAAAGAAAACTGCTGTGAATTATCATATGCTTGTAAATTCATAAATGCTAGAGGAAGCATCCCAATCAAGAAAGCTGCCCAATAAAAAGTATTAGTAGAACATGACCCCATGACTTTCTGCTACTGGTGCATGGGTTAAAATTTAAGCTCTTTGAACATTTGAGTATTGACATCTCCATAACTGATTGTTTTTGCTGATTTTTGCCTGTTGGAGTGTAAAGGAGTGCAGAGAGCATTAAGAGTCAGGAAAAAGAACTAATAAAACTTAGCTAAACCTTAACAGCAGACCATTCCGGAATAGTAAGAGATTCAATGTCTAAACTTAGAGAGAGACCAGATCAAA